AAAATTAATTATTATATCTATATGCTTCTCCATAAGCTATTGTCAGACATTGTCGAGCGAAAAGCTATAATTAGAAGCGTGAAATTTGTATATTGAACAGATTTGGTAAAATGTCGACGAAACCACGAAAGCATCAATAATAATGCGTGTTGATGGTCCATTTAGGTATTAACCTCGAGCATAATATTTATCTGCCTGCTCTAAGTAATAAATCCTCTTTGTGATTAATGTATCGAGGATTATTTCAGAAAAAGCGCTACCTCGTGCGCGGCTTCGACATTTTTATAAGCCGAGATTTATTTTATTAATTTTCATTAATATGTATTCAGCTATTAATTATGTGTATACATACAAAATTAATTTTTTCACATCTCAAAGCTGCATTATACTAAAATGCGTTACATGCACTCGCAAAATATTGATTATATAAACATATATAATATGTATGTGTGTATATATGTGTATTTAAATATATATCTGCCTTATTAATCATTTGTTGGTTGAACCTGTTATCTACGGAAGAGCTCGAAAAGTTATCGATAGACATCCAAAAAATGTATAACAGCGTCACATGTTTATTGACACTATCTAGCACGATTACTCGTACATTCATCATAATAAACATGATGCAATCGCATAAATTCGCATACTAATGCGATCAACCTATCGGCAATCAATGTTTTCAATGCTATTTTTGCACGGTTATCGTAATCTTTAGGATATTTAATTTCGATTCGTTTTTCGACTCCGTCGTACAGATAAAGAAAAATCTTCGTCTAAACATCCTCATTATCGTGGCAGTTTGAGACGGTAGGTAGGAAAGGAAATCGACATGGACTTCGCGCTCGCGCTAGCAAACGTCTCGTCGGAAAGTGGCAGTTTGCAATTAAACGACGATGTTATCGTAAAGGGCGGCCGGCTCGGTTCAGTGTGTACATGGCAGCGAATTAAAATGTAAATACTTGATTAAAGTTAATCCCGGGCAGGTGAATAAACCTGGTACACAAAGACAGAGAAAGAAATACGGCGATTCTATGGGGCGGTGCGGCAGAGGAGGGGGGGGGGGG